TATATATATATATATATATATATATATATATATATATATATATATATGTATGTATGTATATATACATATATATATGTAACAAAATGACTTTTAGCCAGTACAAATTTCACTTTTCTATTATTATAATACATGAATGAATTACAGTGTTCAATTTCATGCAGAAAAAAACTGTAATCACAACACCTACAAATGGGACAATTTTTGATCCATACCTATTCTACACAATCAAGTTGAAATTTCAGCAGCGGTCTTTTAAAGATATTTTCTGCCAGAAAAAAACATTATCCAGAGTTCAATTAAAAACTGAGCTAACACTTAAATCTGGTTTCTCTTTCAGAAGACCTCCTCAAACTTCTTGCCAGGAAACAAATACTTAAATCCCACAATTTCTAACAGTGCTACTGCTAATATTCTCCATACCTTCCTTAAAGTAATCCTATTTAAAATTCAGTAATCATTCTTACCGCCTTGGTACATTGGACATCTTTCCCTAGTAGCCAGTTGAGTTCCAAGTTGCCTTCCCCCTGGTAGCAAGATTGTAGCCGTTCCTTAATTTGGGCATTGATTGCACGGATGGGAAAGATGCAAAGAGCAGAGTCATCAGGGGGGTGGTGGTACTGTTTTTGTCCCTTGGAAAAAATGGCAAAAAGGACATCATCCTTAGCAGTGATGTTCAGGGATCTGGCAAGGACTTCCCCTGGCTTAGAAAGGTAAGCTGCCTGAAGTAGACGGTATTCCACCTCACCTTTGATACAACCAAAGGGCAGAGAAACATAGGAGTGGAATTTAGGGTCATCCTTGCAGAGACGCACAATCCGAGATGTGTAGAAGAGGTCACTAGCTGAATTGATAGACACGCCTTCAGGAGTCTCTGGCTGGACAGTCAGAAAATAAACAAAATTTCCACTGGCAAATCCATAGATATAGAAGATATCAAAGTGAGAGACTAAGGCCAATGTATCTGAAGGGATTTTGATTAGTGATGAAACAAAATCACTGTGAAGCTCATAATCCAACATAGCTGAGGATTCTGGGTCACGAGGCAGCTTTCGGCTAGAGAGGGTGGGAAAATAATCCTGCTTACCATCCACAGCTGTGCCAATGAACAGCTTCCCATCTTCTCCCTCAGAACGAACTATAACTCCATACATAGTGCCAGTCTTGTTGACGCTGGAAAGATAGTGTTCTTTCTTGTGAGATGGCTCTACTAAGATAAAGAGGTCATCCAGGCGCAGTAATTTACAGATGCCTTGATAGAGACTCCCACAGGCCAGCAGCCTATTTTCTGAGTAATCAATGATCAGGAGCTTGTTAACATTGTTCGTCAGAGTCAGGATCTCAGTGCAGGGTTGCACAATAAGTGGTGGGTAGCAGGACCTGTTGTCCTCCTCAGGTCCCGTCTTGTGATCTACCAAGACAGTTAAGTTTCCAGACAGCTTGTAAACCCGATTGATGGCCCCCACATAGACTGCCCCAGTCGTCTGATGGACTGTCAAGTGATTGAAAGTCCAGTCACGGTTCTCAGGATGAAACGTATTATAGATAGGAGTGCTGTTAATGTTCTGTGAAAAGACTAAGAAAAGAAACACCAGGGCCACTGACCAGCCATCGGAGTCCCATGTCCGAGGCCAGAGCTTTCTCTGTTCCATCCTGTGGAGAAGAGCAAGGAAGAAAGGGAGCATATATCTCAAAACTCCCTGTGTGCGACTCTAGCCACAGCAGCTTTCTTTACATGTTTCTACAGAAAGGAAGAAAAAGAACAAAATGCACAGAACAAAAGATTAGATGGATCTCATCTTAGAATTACAATTGAAACAGACATTTCCATTAAAAACTCTTTGAAATAAAACAAAGGTGGCTCTAAATCCATAAATGACCTTCCCATTTGAGTAAGTAGTACAAGTTTTAGGGCTCTGTTCTGCCTCTGTGTATTAATTATTACACAGTTTAACTGCTCATGATATGCTCTGAGCCATGATTTTAAAACAAAAATATTTTACACATTCGCCTAAATTCGATCTAAAAACACAAATGGGGCAGCTATATTTTTTCCCTTAGTTACAAGAAGAATTTTTTTCCACATGGATTATAATTTAATTAAAGAGAAAATTATCAAAAGTAAAGCTATCCAAACTTTCTGCAGTACTTCTGGTTTTATATATTGCATTTGCATGCACAGGAAACTTGATGCTTCAGGCTGCATCTGCATTATCTGTGATTGGCCAGTCCAAAGGGTGCTGATATTGTCTATATCAGAGATGGTTAACCTTTTTGGTGCCGATGCCCAAAGCACGCATGCATGCACGCAAGCCCCAAGCCCCAAAATACAATGAAAGCTGCCCCGCGCATGCGCCCCACCTCCCCAGCTCCCGTTTTGGCTTCCAGGTTGGTGCAGGAGGCTTTTCAGGCCCAAAATGGTAGGGGGACCTCGTGATCTCTGAAGTTTCTCCCCCCAGCATGCCCTAGCTTTCTGCTCCATTTCTGCATGGAGAGGAACCTGTGGAGGGTGGAAGCTGTGGAGATCGGGGAAGGCACGGGTGGCAGAAATGCAGGAGGAAGCTAGGACAAGCTGGGGGTAGAAACTGTGGAGATTGGAGAAGGCCCCACCCCTGCACATGCACAGCAGAGACACAAAGACCAGCTGGCCAGCACATGCATGGTGGAGCTGGGCTGGAGCAATGGCTGGCATGCCTGCAGAGAGGGCTCTGCATGCTACTTGTGGCATGTGTGCCGTAGGTTCATCATCACAGGTGTATATTAATGGGCAAATCAAATATGCATCATTCACTCACAAATGTATGCAGTCAAGTAGGCATGGGAATCAGAACTGTTAAGGTCCCAGATTTCACACACAAAACTATTGTATACTATTTTAAAAATCTGTTAAAGCAAACTGTACAGCTTTCATTAATAAGCACCTATCTAGAAAAGGGTCATTAACTGAGATAAAAAATGCTGCTGCTGCATATCAACATTATAGCCTATAATAAGTATTCTCACATGGCAGCAGTAAAAGGTACAAGCAGAACTTTGGGTTGTGGAAGACTTTCAGAGTATAGTTGTTTATTATTCCAATAAAAGTGGGAGGGGGAGAATATTGTTGATCAAGAACACTTAGTAACGTTTTTATTACTTGGCATTAATCTGTCTCAGAAGAGAGGTTTTCAATTTGCAGTTCCAAAGTTAGTTGATCTCTGCAAGGTTAGAAAAGAAACATTGGCCAACTTCAGATACTCAGATGAGGTCTAGTTGCATAATTCTTCTCCCTAAAGATGTTCAACTTTAGCTGTACCAGTGATAAGTGTCAGGGATCTTTCCGTTCCTATTACTTGGGCTCCTTCAGCTGAGATTGAATTAGATAGCTTTTGCCTCTCTTATGTTCCTTCCCTGTAAAAGGAAGTGCTAAAGATTTCGCACACAGTAATGAAACCCAATATCACTTATTACATATTGTACTTTGTAGAGTCCTTGAGGTTTCTCAGCTTTGATGTTTTTGTGCAAATGTTTCATTACCTGGCTAAGTAACATCTTCAGTGCTAGAAGGCAGTGTGGTTTGCTCTGGATTTATATAGAGTAGCTTTCTTCTTATTCCTCTATATTTTTCTTCCTCCGCCACTTTTGTTCTCATGGTTATTGTAATCTAACTTCTGTCACCATCTGCCAGGATTGCATTAGCCTTCCTCTAGATCAGGCTTATCCAAATTAATGTTCAACAATACCAGAATAATTTGAAAAAAATAGTGGAGTATTTCCAGGATTGTACAAGAATCCTTTCAACCTAATAACTAGATCAGGGCTGTCAAACTCGCAGCCAGATGCATCACGCGCTGGCCATGCCCATGCCCAGTTTAGCAAAGGGGGAAAAAGTCCCACTATGTCATGTGACAACACGAGTTTGACACCCCTGAACTAGATGAACTGATCCTAGTGGTTATTATTTTGAGATCTTAAAATATCTTCCCTCCCCATTTCAGAGTTTGAGTTAAAGGAAAATAAATTAGGCATCTGTCTGAAAAATCAAACTGAAGGTGGAAGTTTTATATTACTAAGATGCTCTGCTCTTAACTGCAAACTCTATTCTTGCTGTCACAGCAGCCTGTGGCAAGCCTTGTATGGTTCGTTCAATACTAATTTTCATCTCTTTTTTATCTTTAGGGTGACCATTCAGTTTGGTATCATACCTCTCTGGGTGGGGGTGGGGAAACAACATTAATTGTACAGGTTGAATCTAGCAGCTGTATTGAAGTCCTCATATCAAAAACATTTGGAGGATGTAAGCCAAAGCAAGTGCTATTTAGACAGATCTGAAAGAGCTGTGATTCTCAGTTTAGTGGTGATGGACATCAATTTTCATGCTCTGATGCTAATCTATATAGCACTTACTGCGACTATTTCTAGTAACTTAAAGTTTAAGGCTCAGTTAAAGGTTTTAATGATTGCAGATACAATAATTATACCATAATTGCATTCCATATGTAAAGCAAATTTATTTTCAAATCTGGTACCTTGGATATTTGCATTAGATTGCCCAAATGTGTATGTGCTCCAATACTGAGAAATGAATGCACATGTATTTCCTGGAATTAAAATATTTAAATCAGTTTTTTTTTAAGCAAGTGGAAGAACCTAGTTGTTCTTAGCTGATCTCAAACAGCTAAGCAGAATTAGGTCTGATTAATATTTAGTTGGGAGACTACCAGGACATTCAACCAAGCAGAGGTAATGACTATGTCTATATTATTGTGAAGAAAACAAATCAATTTGTCTATATAATCTCAAGAGATTGATTCTAGGCTAAAGGGAATACAACGTACAATTAGCAACCAGCTATAAAATGTTCATACAATTGTACTCCCAGTATGCTAAATTAATGACCTAAATGTGATGAGTGCAAGGGTTACAGCTACATCTCTTCCAGATTCTTTTTCCAACTTATTTGAAAATAGCCACATTAAACAGAATGACAAATCATAAAGCTTCCTTAGGAAATGGGAGTTTTGCCATAGAAAAATATCGGCTGTATAGTGCTAACTTATATCAGAAAACATTTTAATCACTTTTGGAATATGAATTTATGAGCTGCAGTGACACAGTGGTTAGAGTGTAGTACTGAAGGCTACTTCTGCTGACTGCCGGCTGCCTGCAATTTGGTAGCTTGAATCTCACCAAGCTCAAGCTTTCCATCTTTCTGAGGGGGGTAAAATGAGGATCCAAATTGTTGAGGACAATATGCTGACTCTTTAAACCACTTAGAGAGGGCTGTAAAGCATTGTGAAGTGGTGTATAAGTTTAAGTTCTATTGCTATTCAAAACTAGTTGTTTGTGTGTATTAGTGTGTGTGTGGATGTGTGTTTTCCATTAATACCCACCCCTTCCTCAAGCTGTACAAGGAAAAAACAATAAAGATAAGAAAAATAAGATTAAATACTTTATACATCATAATTCCTTTTATTCATCCAAAAAGTTGCCATATACCTGAAACACTTTGGAATGCAATTAAAGAATATTATTTACAGAACAATAGTAGCCAAGAGAAACCTGAACCTCTTTTAACTTAATCCTATGAATACACTTTAACAAAAGTACTCAAAAACATAATAAAGCTTCCTATCTGAGTGATGGCTCTAATATATTCTCATCTGGCCAGTAATGGAAGGGGAGGGGTGTTTGTTTACACTGTGATAATTCAAGTTTCAGTTCATGAAATTGTATGGTCATCAAATGAACAGAAATTATAAACTTTTATTGTATGGTTATTACCAGCATAGCCAGTAAGTTCTTTGATATGGGAGGTATCCCATCAAAACAAAAGCAGTTCTATTTCTGATTACCGCAATTTTCTGTATTGAAAATTTATGTCACCAGTCTCCAGTGTTTTGTATGCTGCATTTCACAGGCGGGAACTACATCGAATTGCTGAGAAACTCACTTTCTCTTTAACTTGCACATTTCTGCTGGGAATTATTAAGCAGTCAAAAGGGCACTATCATGGTGCAAGGGACTTGGGACAATTCAAGGCTGTAAACGTACCATAAATATACAGAGAGAAAAACCCAAATAATGAACATTTTTCCTAAATTCCCCAAAAGTCTTGATATGTTGAGTGTATTTTGTGGAGAAAAGGAAACAGAAAATCAAGAGAAGAAAAATTATGTTGACAGAGCAGGAGATCACCAGACTGCAATATTTCTTTTAACTCCAGCTTTCTGATTCTATAAAGACTAGTCATTTCCATACTGTCCTGTGAATGTGACCTTTTCTAAAGATAATAGTTGATAGGCACATAACATACAAATGGAGTAGAACGTTGGTGCTACTTTCCTCCTTAGATTTATATAAAAATTCTGAGAAAATCACAAGATGAAAACTGATAATTTTGCAGCCAAGTTGGGCAGTGTCATATAGAGGTGATTTTAAAATAGGGCTACAGGTTCACATGTCCCTTGGGCTATTCTTTACCCTTTGTTTCTTAGAGGAAAAAGCTCTCACCTCCTTAATTATTCACTACAACATAGAGAAAATAATTTAAGAATTAATCATGTTTTCTGTTTCAACAGGGCCAAATTTATACCATTAGATCAAATCATAAACACATGAAGATAATACTATAGTTTATTGCCAGTATCTGATAGAGATATCTTAATGATGTAAATGGAGGTTCCATTTAGTTGTCACAATGTATACAAATGAATTCATACAATAATAATATATTAATATATCATATTGTAATAGCAAATT